CTACCCTGTGGCCCAAGTATTGCACTTCAGCCATCCCTACATGGCACTTGCTGGGTTTTAACGTTAGACCCGCCTCCCTGATGCGATCGAGGATGGCTCTTATATGAGTTAAATGCTCGTCCCAGGAGTTGCTGAATATCGCTATATTATCCAAATAGGCGCAAACATACTCCTGGGATCCGTCCAGTAGCCGATCTACAATCCGCTGAAAGGTAGCCGGCGCATTCTTCATCCCGAATGGCATCACCTTGAATTGGTATAGCCCAAACGGGGTGACGAAGGCGGACTTTGGGATGGCATCCTCGGCTAGTGGGATCTGCCAGTATCCTTTGCACAAGTCTATTGTGGTGAGGTACTGGCCCCTGGCCATTTTATCTAGGAGCTCATCGATTCGGGGCACAGGGTAGGCATCGGAAATTGTTTTATCATTAAGCTTCCGGTAGTCTACGCAGAAGCGGGTGGTTCCGTCCCGCTTCGCCACCAGCACTACCGGAGAGGCCCATGGGCTATCCGAGTGTTCTATCACTCCTAGCTGCAGCATTTCGTCAATCTCCTTACGCATATGATCTTTTACAGATTCTGGTATACGGTAGGGGGTTTGACGAAGAGGGTGTTGCCCTGGGGTTTCTATCCTGTGGGTGGCCAGTGGGGTATATCCGGGCTGATTGGAAAAAGTATCCCCTTTCTCTCTAAACAGCTCTAGTATCTGAGCCCGATCTCTAGGACTTAGTCCGTCTCCCAGCTGTACTTCCCCTAATTCTGTGTCGGGCCCCCCTTTTTCTAATAGGTCCGGTAGAGGTAAGTTGTCTGGGTCCTCGGCGGCCGAGGCACATATGGCAGTTACTTCCTCGGCCCGCTCGTGATATGGTTTCAACATGTTAACATGGAGCATGCGTTTACCGCCTGCTCCAGTACATGGGGCAATTATATAGGTGGTGTCACATAACTGTTCAACCACCTTATAAGGGCCCTGCCAGGAGGCCTGCAGTTTGTCATTTGGACTGGCTTCAAGATTAACACCTTTTGCCCTATTTGAAAACTGCGGTCCCTGGCTCCCCTATCGTACCATCTGCGTTGTCGTTGCTGGGCCACCTGGAGATTGGACTGTACTGTCTGGATCAGGGTCTCCAAGCGCTCCCTGAATTCTAGCACATATGGGACGATAGGGATACCATTACTGGTGACAGTTCCTTCCCAGTGTTCCCTAATGAGGTCCAAAGAACCCTGCACTCTGCTTCCGAATAGTAATTCGAATGGCGAGAACCCTGTGGACTCCTGGGGTACCTCTCGGTAAGCGAAGAGCAGATGGGGAAGAAACCTTTCCCAGTCCTTCTAGGTGTCCATGAACGTATGGAGCATTTGCTTTAAGGTTCCGTTGAAACGTTCACAGAGCCCATTGGACTGGGGGTGGTACGCTGAATTTACAATAGGTTTCACCCCACATGTTCTCCATTACTGGTGAGTGTCTTTGGCCGTGAATTGGGTACCCCGATCCGAGATAATCTCCTTGGGGAACCCCATTCTGGAGAATATCCGGATCAGGGCATCCACTATAGTTTCTGCATGAATATTAGTTAGGGTCACTGCCCCTGGGTACCGGGTAGCATAGTCTACGACGGTTAGGATATACTTTTTCCCGGAAGGACTGGGTTTTGCTAGGGATCCAATTATGTCAACTGCCACCTACTAAAGGGATCATCTATTATGGGGAGGGAGTGCATTTTTGCCTTGTATCGGTCACCTCTCTTCCCTACTCTCTGGCACGTATCGCAAGTTTGGCAATACTGCCGGATATCTTTGGAGACCCCTGTCCAAAAGAAGTTTTGGGTCAAACGATGTTTCGTCCTACTGACGCCTAGATGTCCTGACAAAGGGATGTTGTGGGCAATACGTAGAAACTCTTGCCTGTACTTTTTAGGAACCACTAATTGTGTGAGGGTCATGGGTACGGATCCTGCTACTACCTTCTCTGCATACCTATACAGTAATCCTTTCTCCCAAGCATATCTCTCCCCCTCCAACCCCCCTGATTCTGCGTAACCCTATCCCGGTATACCTGCAAGGACGGGTCGGTGACTACTTCAGTACCAAATTCTATGGGGGGAGCTCAGGGGACGAAAGGAGGGGTAGAATTGTTGCTTACCTGAGCCTCAGAGTGTTCGGAAGATGCGGTAGTGCGAGCCTGCTGCCGTGTTACAACGGGTAGCGCTTCCTGCGCGGGGTGCTGAGAAACAAAAGTGGAGGTCAGCTCCTCCAAGTCGTTACCCAGGATGACATCGGCTGGTAAATCCTGCATAAGGCCCACTTCCACATTCCCTGACCCTGCTCCCCAATCCAAATGTACTTTAGCAGTAGGAATTTTGTAAATAGCTCCCCCGGCCACCCGGACTGCCACATATTCTCCAGTGAGCTGGTTCTTGGGAACTAGGTGATTGCGTACCAGAGTTATGGTGGCGTTTTCCATCTACGTGTACCCCTTGGCGATGCCCCTGTCTGTTCTCTGAAGCCGCTTGTATTGGGTTGACTTCGTGGAGCGTGCCGAAAGGTTCTTCATTGGACCCGACCCAAAAGGAAGGTTGTCGGGGCTCACTCTGGAAGCAGTGTACAGCTGCCCGGTTTGCAGGGGAATTAGTTGGAGTATTCCACGTGGGGCGGTTCTTGTTCCTGGGACAGTCTCTCTGTATATGGCACTGCTGGTTACACGTGTGACACCTGATGAAAGATCGGGCATTGTTGTACCGTGGAGGGGATTGGTAGTTCCCACCACCAGGCCCTTCTGGCATCTTGGTACTCGTCCGCCAACCTGGCTGCGTCGGTTAAGGTGCGTGGTTTCCGATCGCTCAGCCAGTTTTGTAAATCCGGGGTTAACCCCTGGAAGAATTGTTCCAGTAGCAGTAATTGTAACATATCCTCTACTGTTGTTGCTTGTGCGGCTTGCACCCATCCCTTGCCCGCCCTAGTTAAGCGGTGTGCCCACTCCATGTGGGTGTCTCTCTCCGTCTTTTGGCTTTCTCTGAACCGCTGCCGGTATGCCTCTGGGGTAATGGCATACCTTGTCAGGATCACCTGCTTTACTTTCTGGTAGTCCCTGCTGTCCTCGTCTGGCATTGTGCAGTAGGCTTCTGCTGCCCGGCCACTAGTTTGTCCACCAGCAGAGGTACCTGGTCAGCAGCGTCAATCTCATGTAGTTGGCATAACCTCTCGAAGTCATGCAAGTAGCCATCGATGTCCTCGGTTTCCACATAATTTTTAAAAGCATGGTACTGGATTTTAGGCTTCCCTTGTACTATGCGGGGTGGGGTTGGGGACCCCTCTCTGGACCTCCGGTCTGCCTGCTGCTTTGCCATTAAATATTTGTGGACATCTGCCATAATCCTTTCCACGGTTTCCATGGGAGGTATTCCTGGGAAAAAGGCCAGTCTGCTTTGGAGTTCTCTTCCAAACTCATTCTGTGTGCTGTCCATAAGAGGTGCTGCAGCAGCTGCCCGGTCTCCCTCCATGAGTTCGGCAATAATGGTAGCTTTGGCTTTATTGCTGGCAATAATTCCTCTTGCTTCCAATAGTTCTTTTAGCGTGGCCCGTTTCAAGCTGGTATAATCTGTCCCCATTCACTATCCGTTCGGGTATATTCACATACCCTTTCCCTTCGGTTCCATACGAATATAAAATTTCCACGAATGGCTGTATATGCAGAACAATTGGCTGCTATGAG